CATTAAGATCGTCAAAATTAACCCCTGGAAGTATTCCCTCTCTTACTAGTCTATTAAGACGATCTTTGGATATGTGCCCTAACCTTCGATGCCAAAGCATAGGTGAAGGTTCCATCTTTTTTCTTTTTAGTGGCAAACTAACAACATGACATGATTCAATATTCATAGGCAATAATGATTTTGCATATGATTGATCAAAATTTAACTTATAGAGTCCAACTAAGCAAGTTGCAGAGCCTATATTATTCAAACCATAATGGATAGTAAGAAAGCCACCAGAAAAATGAAACGAGTACCCACAAGCATCTAACTTTGAAACCAAAATTAAATTTCTTCTAATAGAAAGCACATAATAAGCATCAAGTAGATCTAGTGTGAATCTAGATTCTAAGATAACTCTATAAGTGCCAACTCCTAAAACTTTGACACGCTCTGCATTCCCCATGTAGATGTACACGCTCTCCAAATCAACCTTCCTTACGTTCAAGAACCCCTGTAAGGTATTTGAAATGTGAACAGTGCACCCAGAATAAATCCACCATGTATTTAAGGGTATATCCGCAATATTCATTTATGAGCACATTAAGGCTAAGGGTTGCCTTGCTTTCTATTCTTCTTCTTCAACTTCCAATAGTCAAATTTGTAATGCCCTGGTCTCTTGCAATAATTGTAGGTAATTCCTTCTGCCTTCTTCTTTTCAGGCTTAGTGAAACTTTCCTCCATAGGGTTATACTTATGATTTTTCCTTCTTCCATTCTTCTTAAATTGTTTCTTCTTTGGTCCCAAAATAGCAACATGTGCAAATTCAATTCCTCCTTTCTTTTGTCTCTCTTCTTCTAGAACACATTGGTTTATCAGTTCACACTCCACTTATGAGTACTAGTGTTGTAATTAACCACAAAGGTTCCAAATGACTTGGGAAAAGTAGATAACACTATAAAAAAGGAAATCATCATCTAGGTTCATCTTTAGCTCGCGTAGTTGATAAACAATCCCAGATACTTTACTAATAAATTCTTTAATACTCCCAGGTTGTTTAAATTTTGCAACAAAGAGTTGGGAAAGTAAACTTATGATCATGGCCTTTGTGGAGCCTATAAACTGATTCTTGATAGTATCAAGGGTTTCCCTAGCAGTATCAAATATGGGAATGCCAATCTTCAATGGCTCAGAAATCCAACTCTGAATGATAAGAAGAGCCATTTTATTGGCTTGTTGCCAATTGTTATATCTAGTGTGATCTTGGTTGTTTGCATTTGCTAGAGGTTGTAAAGGTTCAAGTTGTGTGAGGCAAATGTCATATCCATAGGCCCCTAAGATTGTGTCAATTTGACTTTTCCATCTCTTGTAGTTGGTTCCAGCCAAGAGTTCAATGGAGAATGATTGAAATTGAGCAAATAGATTTTGAGTGTTCAAGGCTGCCATGCAAATATAAATACCAATTTTAATTTACACATTGGGAGCAAAATAAACAAACTAAATCATGCATCCAATAATTAAGCATGATTAACAAATTACAGAGTTATATATGATTTCACGCTCTCTCCTTTGGGTCCAAGAATGATTATAACTAAGTGAATTTAATCACACAACAATACAAACTGCACACATACATACTTGACCATTAATCACTTAGACCTTTGGGTCCAAATAATCAATAATAAATATAGTCATGAAGTTCCTTTGATCATTCCAATTAAACCAAGATGAATGATGTTACCTTCGGGTTAGTCATTCACGAATCCAATGGAATGGACAACTAATGGGAAAATCACAAGGTATCTCAAGCCAATTTGAGTCCCAAATGCTTTGGCTTTGGTCCTCAAATTACTCTTAAATGCAGTCAAGAACAAAATAAATAATCAATTGTTATGTAAATGTCATATTGCATATTCCTTGGTCTTCATGGAACAAAAAGATGATTGCTAAGCAATGGTAATAATGTCAAAGGCATGATTAGTCAAATAAAAGGATATTCATCCCTAATAAAATGCCCTTAATAATAAAAGGGAATCCAAAAGGCCTTATATTAGGCTGAACTAGACATTTTATTACAATAAAAGGGCCAAAATTCAATTGAGTTCAACCAAAATTGAATTTATTTACCTTAATATGACTTGAACCGGTCCCAAACCGGTCTAAATCATGTTGAACCAGTCACAGAAAGTTTCTTGACACGTTTGGACCGGTTTGATGCAGTTTGACCTAATTGGACCACGTTCGAATCGCTTGGTTTGCATGGAACCAATTCGGCGTGGTACCGTGCCCGCCATGGTATCGTGGGGAACATGACTCACCATATATGGTACGGTACCATGCCAGACACGGGTTATCAAAAACAGGTCTAAATTGACTCGAGAGAGTCGTCTTCTTCGCCCGAAGTCTAAAAATCGGGTTTTTGCAACCCGAATGAGGAGACCGATTTTAGACTATCCGAGTTTGGTCACTTCCGGCAACTGGTTGGCCTCCAATAGATCGGAAATGAACAACCGCCGGTTGGGCACCAATTCTCGGCATATATCTTGCTGGAATCCGGTCAAATCGCCAAAAAACGCAATCTTCGTTTTTCAAGCATTTCAGACATGGCTCTCATACCAGTTTTAATGAAAATTGTTGGAAATCGGCTTAAAATTATTTCTAAACGTTATTGACCTAAAAGAAAATTCAAATGTATAATAGCAGGCCCATACCTTCCATTGTGATCGTTCAAGGCTAGAAATAACCTTCTTGAAAGTCCTCCCATCAACAAAGTACTACTCTTGGTACTTGGCCTTGTCATTGAAAAGCTGGTGGGATGCGGCCGGACTTGCATGCATGCATGCATCCTATCCAACACCAGCCCCCAGTCTTTCTCTCTCTCTGCTAGACTGCTACTAAATGGCTATTCTAAGCGTGATTCATAGTGTTTTGCTCATCTCGTGTTTGACGCTTGTTAATGCCAGAATTAATCCTTGGCGTTTACGGTACTGGAGGGCCATGGCAGAGAACCCATGCTACTTTCTACGTGGGAGCGATGCCTCTGGAATTTATGGGAGCTAATTCTGAGACTGCGTATGTATCATTTTCCAACCATGACTGTTACACTAGAATCGAAGGGGTTAGTAGATTATGTGTTATAGCAACAAAAAACTGGATAATTTTTTTGAATGTTCATCTCACTAGACTAAAATATCAAAATTATTTATTCTCTATAATCGCATTTTCATCATCCAAACCTTTTAACCAGTTGACGTACAGCCAAAGCCGAGCTTGTGGGCACAAATAGCACGTACGGGATGTCTACAAGATTTTGGTACTGGATTGAAGCTCTCCTGACGAGGATTGCAAAAACTTCCTCCATTAATGGATGATTCAGTTCCTTGAGAAGAGCATCAGAAAGCTTGATTTCAGTCCCAATGGCGTCAATACCGTCATTCAACACAGTAAATATGTATTTACACCATCATTGATTTTGTTTGATACATTGCTGCACATAGCCTAGTTTTTTAGAGAATTCCATACACTTGTATGGCTGAAATTAATTAAACTCTTTATTTAATTTATCACTCCAATGTTCAGGATTATGTAATTTTGACAGCCTAGATATTTGAAATGATTGGATACATCATTTAGACGGGCTAGATCAGATGAAATATTGGTAAAATATTTGAATGGTAGAAATTAGTTGCCTAATCTTAGGGTAATATCTTGATGGCCTAGATTACAAGTGTTTCTTGGTACTTTAATTTATGTTCTTCATTCCATGATTTGGAAATTGGTTAGGTATTCGGTTCTGTTTCACCCTAAAACCAATTTTTGGCCAAAAACTATTGATTTGGTCAGAAATCTGCTGACCCAAGTGGTAGAACTGTTATCATTTTTTATTTTAAGTTAGAATAGGCCATTCATTCGAACCCGACTTTTGGACCATTCAACCCAGGAACCAGTCCCCAAACGGTTCCATGTCCGGTCCAGTTTTTAAAACCTTGCTTCATTCTATAGAAATTTTAAAAGAATTACCTGAAATATCAGGGTTAATGGAGTCATGAAAATTTGGTCTCTTAGACATGGATAATTTTAACTGCCCACAATTTGTTAAACAAGGTGGAGGGGTGCAATGCAAATTTATTTGCACTAGTACAAATGTAAAAAATGCAAATCCTTGTTTAATTTTGTTTTAGATTTTACTTTATTTTGCTTCATATCTTAATTTACTTCATTTGTACTGCAATCAAACAAACTAAGTTAAAATTTGAAACAAAAATAGGCCAAAATTTACATTTAAATCATTTGCACTGTCATGCTTTTGCATCAGTGCAAATTTATTTGCATTGCAACCAAATACAGCCTTAAGTTCAGTTCGGAAAAAATACAAATACAAATATATAGTCTAAAAAAAACATGTATTTTGTATTTCTGAACCCTGTACATATTTGTCTTTGTATTCTTTCCAAATTATGAGGGGTACGTGAAATTTACCCTTTACGCTAAATTTGGAAGGAGTACAAATGCAAATATGTAGAATGCAAAACCTTATATTTTTGAATTATTTTGTATATATTTACGCTGTACACATTTGCATTTGTACTCCTTTCCAAACTGAGTTTGGGAGTACAAATGCAAATTTGTAGAGTGCAAAACCTTGTATTGTATTTTAAACGTATTTGCACTGTACATATTTGTTTTTGTACTCCTTCCAAACAGAACCTTAATGTATTAATGGCATTCAATAAACTAGTCCGACTGAGTACTATTTATATCCACGAGTTTGGAAAGGAGTACAAATGCAAATTTGTAGAGTGCAAAACCTTGTATTGTATTTTAAACGTATTTGCACTGTACATATTTGTTTTTGTACTCCTTCCAAACAGAACCTTAATGTATTAATGGCATTCAATAAACTAGTCCGACTGAGTACTATTTATATCCACTGGACAAGATATTAAGATCCAATTTGAATGAGAATATCAACAATCAATAGGTATATCTGATTCAATCCCAACTATTTGCTGCCCTACCAGAATCACTGAATACCAGTTTCACCCTTGTTTGATAAAATATGCTTGATTAGACACGCTCGTAATGATAATGATACATGACAATATGATACAAGAAGAATCAAAATCCATCTTTACATAATCACTTACAGGTATAGATGAGGACCCAACAAATAAAACTAAAAAAAAAAAATAGCAAAAAACACATGAAGCTCCAGCAAGGCAACAATTGCATTCATCACATACAACCTGACATGAGCTCAATTTCTTTTCACAAGTACTTAAATGCTACACTATCACTAGTATCTTTTTCTAAATGGCATTTAGTGCTACCAAATCTCCTCATCTCTCGGTTCCTATATTCTGGCAACAGGAATGTCATCTGGCAATTTCTCTTGATCTCTCCATATGTTTACCAGTCCTTTGGCTCTAATGCAGCAGCTATATTGTCGGACTCTGATTGGGAATACTTTGTCCCCTTGAATCCATGTCTTCCTAAGGTCAAATTTAAGAAATAATTAGAAATAATAGTTCTATTAAATTAATCTATAGTACCAAAAGCATGACTGAATATATTCATTACTTCAATCATAATTACAATGATATATATCAAATCAGTTGTAAGATCTTTTCTCTTTGCCACAACTGATGCGTAACATCTTGTACAATCAAACTCATAAGATCCTGCAATAATAATTACCTGCATTTAACATACTGAAATCAAACCAAAAAAAAGGGGAAATAAAAAAACGAAGGAGAAGGATGTCAGGGTCTCAAACCATCTAATTCAAGTTCTCTTGCACGTCATTGTGCTTTTCAAGTATTTGTCTTAAAAATTGTGCCTGCAAAATATAAGACATCTTAATTAATTGTTATGATTCATAGACCACTAAAATGCAATAAATTATAATTTCACAACTTTTTCGACCTCTTTGCATTTGTTGATGTTGTGACCAGACTTGCTGCAATTGCTACATGTATATTTTCGCTTGGCTGCACTATTTTCTACTTCGGCTTTGACTCTCTTGCATGGTTGCCCTATGGAATTTATGGGTTGAATATCATGTACAGTCAATTCCGGCACCATTTTATCTGCTTCATTCCCTTTGTTGAGATTATATCCAGAACTGGTAGATGATGTATCCCCAGATGCTACCTTTTCCAATGCTTCCTTTAAGAACAATTTTGCAGCTTTGTATTTCTCTTTAGACATAGCTCCTAGCTCACAAAGTTTGATTGAATCAAGGTGCAGGTCACTAAAACATTTCGCACTGAGTTTAATTCCATGCTCATGTAATTCATTCCAATCTTCATCAGATACATCCATTTTCTTTGCATTTCTTGTCCAGCGCGTTACTATGTAATGAGATGGGATTTCATACACACCAGCCGCAAAGAGAACCACCATTGTATGCCTGCAGAGGTAGCCTTTGAACTCAAATAAACGACACATACAAGAAACTGTGGTCTTAGAATGATTCCAGATAACGGTGAAGTCTTTTACACCCCTCTTCCCATTGGCCTTCATTATCAATTCTTTAACCACATAGTTTGAATTATCCCCTTCTTGTTGAATATGTGTTACATTACATGAAGGAATTTGCAAAACCTCATCCTGGAATTTCTTGAATATATCCAATGTGTACACAGATGCCATTTGTTCTTCATAAGGTGATCCTGTTTTCAAATCCGGTGTCTTATGATATGTATCAAAATCCGCTCTCTCTTCTTCATCATACCTTCGCTGTAAAACCAACCCATACTGATTCAAGAACTTCTTTAAACTAGTCTTTTGAGTAACATAATCATCAAAAAAAGAGCTCAAAGTTTCATTCCTTTGTGAAGCTGACATTCCTGCAAAGAAGGTATCCTTCAAGTACACTGGGACCCACTGTTTTCGATCTTCATACAAAGTTTGAAGCCATTCATGTTCATTGAGATTATTAGCTTCAATTAACTTTTTCCATCGTCTTTCAAATTCATCAACTGTCAGTGAATCATAAATGCATTTCTCAAACTTATACATAAACCCTGGATTTTCTTTACATACAGCATCCAACTTCTCAGGAACTTTTCTCATAATATGCCACAAACAGAAGCGATGTCGTACTTCTGGAAATACCACACCTATTGCTGCTGTTAATGCCTCGTCTTGGTCGGTGATTATGGCATTTGGAGGCTTCCCCTGCATTGCTGTAAGCCATGTTTTCAACACCCAAAGAAAAGATGACTTCGTCTCATCTGTAACCAATGCACATCCGAGTAACACATACTGCCCATGGTGATTAACTCCCATGAACGGTGCTAGTTTCAATGTGTACTTGTTTGTCAAATACATTGTGTCAAAAGTAACAACATCACCAAAGTGAGCATAAGCCACCCTGGATCTGTAATCAGCCCAAAAAACATTTCTCAGATGTTGTTCCTCATCTAATTCCATTGCATAAAAGAATCCAGGGTTTAAAATTTGCATATGCATAAAAAAATCAGAAATAGTTTGTGCATCTCCTACTGATAAAGACTCTCTGTGTTCTCCCTCAAAGTAATTTCTCCAACCTTTTTCTGTAAATTGTAAATTTTCAAGTCCACCAGCCTGTTGGGTTACTGTAGCCACTATATTAGGCATTAGTATTTGAGACCTCCAATTTCTAATAACATTATTCTTTCTTTCACCTGTCTTCCTGTGTGACTGGAAGCAACGGATACATTTTGGATTGAGTTCATGATTATGTTGCTCAAAAAAGTTTATTACAACCCATTTTCCACTAAAACATCTCTTCACCTTCATCATTGCTTTGCAACCTAACCTTGTAGTGGGTCTTGGATTATCTGTCTTCCTTTGGACCTTTTCACCTTCTCTTGAACACACATATGTTCTACCAATTACTTCATTGTCTATTTTTGAACGACGAACAAATCTCTTACGAATACCAAAGCCTACACGCTTAGCATATTCATTATAAAAGTAATAAGTTGCTTCTTCACAGTCAAACTCCATACCTACATAGGGTGTATCTCCAGTTGTAGTGGTTTCCATTGCAGCACAGTTCTTCTCAATTTCATTGGTACCCACATTGGGTTCAACATCTTCAACTTCATTACCATCTCCGGATTCAGAGCTCTCTTCCCTACCTTCCTTTACATGTGATTCAACATCCAACAGCCCTGGGGACTCTGCCATCTTGATACTCGCTATTTCGTGGCCTAAAAAAACATATTCCAATGTCAATTTTCAGTCAGAGGGTTCTATATGGATCATCAATAAGGATTGTAATATCATGTATCAGTTCATATTGGCAGATAAATATCAGCCTCTCCAGTATAAAGATCACGGACTACCTGAAATCAAGGCATCTACATACCCCACATGACTCGTCATCATCTAAGCCTTGTCCCAACCACATGGGGTTGGCTGACCATCCACACAACTCCATGATAAAATTACATATTGATTGTAAAATGTCATCCTTGAATAATCACCACACCAAGGGCAGGGTTAGTGACCATTAACTTTCAATTTGTACTATGTGTTCAGACTTGAATTCCACCATCCAATGGATCCCAATATAGAAACTAGTAATGGCACTTTTTTGTGCATTTCAAACATTTCTACCGTCCATATAAAAATAGTGAGAACATATTGCCATAGTCATCCTTGGAAATACCTAGCCCAGCTAATTTCCAAAGTGAGACCAATCCAGTAGTTGTACCATGACCCTTGAAACAAAACGTGATAAGTTATGGTGGTGGGCCTAGAAAGAGATTTTACCCTTCAATCCCCATGGAGATATTTAAGGGAATTCAATATGGTATGCCAATAACTTAATGTTAATACATGATAATTTCACACACAAATAACCCAAAAGTTTTACCTGTTGTCTTATAATTAAGAGATTTCCTATGAAAAAGACAACTTCACCAACCTGACATCTTAACATGTGATTTTTCCAAAAAGGTAATCTTAGGTAGAACACTTGTATACACTGGGCCACATTCTGAAGTAACTTTATTTTTTTTAGTTATCTAAAAAAGCAAAATTATTAGAGTTTATAGTAGACCGTGTACAGTGGTGCTATATGATTGCATATTATACCATATAGTTTATGGTTATCAGGCAATTCTGAACACCCAAAATGATTTCTATGTTCATGTTTTAGATTATCTCTTAACTATAAATTTTGAGAAGATATTTACTAGAAAATAAATAGATAACTATAGTACTAATTGTAATGCTTATTTAAATGACAAAGATCTGTGAAGAATGTAGCACCCTGATGGACCCATGATGATTTTCTACAGGGATAAATATTTTTCTTTTAAATTGTCAATATATACTTACACCTATTAATAAAGGGGATTGATATAGGAAAATCCCATTTTTATTAGAGTGGGCATCTAATATCACTGTGCTTATATAATTTCAAGAAAAAATAACTTGAAAATTATTTTCTTATTTTTTATATTAATAAAATACAGATTGTTAACAGCAATGAAGTATATCTACATTTTATTTATGTTACTAAAGTATTGCATATTGTCTTCTCACCTTGTCTGTATGGAGCAAAGTGTTGGGCGGTCAAGAAGCAACATGACCAAAAAGGAGTATGGCAGAAATGTGTATGCTAAGATGGAAGTGTGGAAAAACTAAAAAGGATAGGATCAGAAATGAAAATTGATAAAAAAAAGATAGGATCAGAAATGGAGTCATTCATAGGAACTTAGAAGTAACTCCAATAGGCAATAAAATGAGAGTAAGTAGACTAAGGTGGATTAAAGGAGATGACAGAAACAATTTTTTCATGCTATGGAAAATGGTAGATGAAGGAAAAATGTTTTGTCTAAATTCGAGACTGATGGAGAGATTATCACTCAACAAAGAGAGATTATTGGGGTTTTTGCAGAGTTCAGATTTATCTCTAGGAGGCCAATACTTGACAGAGTGTGTGTTGAAGGTTTGGACTGGCCTTGCATACCTGAAAACCTAAATATGGGGATGGAGAGGAACTTTGAGTTAGGGGAAATCGAGGAGGGCTATCTTTTCTATGGATAGGTCCAAAGTTTCAGGACAAGATAGATTTACTATGGCTTTCTACCAAGATTGTTGGGGAATTCTAAAAGGTGATTAATGGAGAACTTCAATGAATTTTTTGAGAGGGTTGTGAGAAATCCAGGGTTGAATTCCACTTTTATACCTTGGTTCCTAAAGAGCCAGGAACAGTTCACCCAAAGGACTTTAGAGCCACTAGCTTGGTGAATAGCTTATATGAAATAAATGCTAAGGTTTTGTCCTTAAGGCTCAGTTTGGAAGGAGTACAAATACAAATATGTAGGGTGCAAAATCTTGTATTTTGCATGTATTTGTACTGTACATATTTGTATTTGTACTCTATCCAAACTGAGCCTAAGCATCAAATAGGTGATAGGTTATGAAATTAAAAAAATAAATAAATTATAGGCTGAATTCCTATTTTTCCTAGTAATCAGCAATCATCTACACTAATAATTAGCAATAATATACATTAAATACATTGAATAACTACAATTTTCATATCAAAATATATGACGATATTCATGAAGGGAAAAAATTACATACCTGGAACCTGCATGAATATTGTGACTGTGCTGTCTTTTAATGTTCAGTTTTGGTAGAGGCATGCCTAAAAAACTGGTACAACAAAGTAAGAGTGGTAATCAGTAACTAAGAGGGGGCAGGACCCCTATTTTCTTACCAGAGCCCTATTTTAACACCAAATAACAAAAGATTATATACCTATCTATGACAATGATGTTATGTTTTTCAGTTCTTTAAAAGCCTTGCTGGTTCAAGGGAAAGAAGGTTTCAATCAGCTAACCATCTCTTTTCTTCCTCTGTTTCTTTGAACGCTAATAAAAGAAAATAAAACAATTATTTATCAAAAGAAAAAGAAAATAAGACAATCCAATCAAATGGAATTGTTAAATTAATAATAACCCAGTTCATGCTTATGTTAACACAAAAGGTGAAGCAATTAAAAAATTTTAAGGTGTTATAAAGCAACTGACTAGCATTTTTTGATGCTCGGGAATCCACCTTGCCTTGCCACCTAGGTATGCACCTAATAAAAGATATCTTTTGTTAAAAATTTTGATACAATGCAACCTCCTAAAACCACTTACTTAGCCGCCTAGGCATCACCTTGACAACCATGCTCTCCACATCTAGCTCCTCCAGTATAATCATAGCTAGAAAAATAAACCCTGAAGTAGAGATCTCATCTCAGCTCCCTCCTGAGTTCCCTGAGCCATTTGAAGTTGGCATATTCTAATCTCAGCTCCCTTGACAACCATGCTCCACATTTAGCCATATTTTGGAGGTACTTATAGACTGGTACAAGTATGGGTTCAATGTTTTTCTGTTCTACACTTTTTTTCTACCCTTTATGGGTTTTTTTTTTTCACTCAGTAGATCTAATTCAGCTTTCCTTTTTTTTAATAACTTGCAGCTAAATATCACAAAAAGGAACAATAGAATCCACCCAAGGGTTCAGTTTCTATTTTTCAACTGCTCTTTGGCAGGTTTCTGTTTGTATCTCTATGTTTTTCTAATAAATTTACCTTACCTTTTCCCAAAAAAAAAAAAAAATCAACTGCTCTTTGCTCCAACCTTTTCTCCTTTCTGGGTTTTTTTACTCAGTATACCATATTACTGTTCACATACCATTTCCCTATCCTTTTTCCCTTTCTAACAAGAATTTGTTAGATATCAAAAGAGAGAGAATGAAAGCACCCACCAAACAAAGCTGAAGTACAGGTTTGAGATGATAAGGGAAAGAAAAGACAAGAAAAGCAATATGCACATACATTTGCTATATTTTTGGTGATTACATGAATACCCCTGCTATTGTGCATGACACAAGCCTAAACTCAAATCTGTCAGAGGGAGGGGCACAATAGGCATTTTGTATAGGAACATGGCCACATGGGACATGTGGAAGAGAATTTCAATCAAGAAGTTGATAAAACTTTGATATTTAGTCCAACATTATTAATAAAGCTTTAAATAATAGTAGAGGTTGGTCTGATGAGATTGCTTACAGTTAGATCAATGATAAAGTCTCTTCAAGTCATGAGGACCAAATATGATGCATATAAGAACTTTAAGGGTGTGCTGACCTTGTATAGAAAAACCAAGGGTAGTTTTGAAGTATCCATTTTGAAAAGGAAACCAGACCCATCAAATGTTTCTCTTAATGAAGGAATCAAGGTTGTATGCTAATAAAAATAAACAGGGTTAAAAAGTGGTTGGGTGTTGATGTATGAAAGAAATGAATGCAAGAAAGAGAAGCTGTAGAGGCAAGTTCTACTGCTAGTTCTAAAACCTAAGCTGGAAAGAGCTTGGATGTAGCTGGAAATAAATGGAAAAATGAAGTAGATAAGAAAGCATAGTCAAAATTCAAACCAATTGTAATCTTTGAACAGCCAAAGATTTCACTGACAGGGGAAGAGAGTTATTTTTGGGAATAATATGAACTTAAAGGAGGGTTCATTGAATTATTAAATTGATTGAATGAGCCATCTGATAAGCACAAGGAAGAAAATAAGGAAGAGAGATCACCTGAAGATGCTGTAGGAACAGGGCAAGAGAACAAGGAAAGGGATAACACAATAGTGAAGATAAAGAGGTGCACAGTTTACACAAGAAAACCATACAGAACCAAACCACTTCAGTAGAAAGTTACTAGTAGAGACCTAATCAAAGAAAAGGGGCAGGAGACCGCAAGGCAGGTGACACTGAGGATTTTTTTGACAAATAATAAGGAATTTTATTAAAGAAATATCAAAGAATGCAACAATAATAATCTTTCCATACAGAGGCACAAGTTGCGACCTCTCACATGTACAAGATGATTCAAATTACAACCGAGCCCAATACAAGTGATCCCTATTCGCCCCTTACTTTGCTAATAGCCATCCCAATAGCCAATCTTCTGGCCCATTGAATCCTCAAGGTCATGTTTCTTGTTAGCCACTTGATCTTCTTAATCTCATCCTTATAGGAATAATTAAGGGATTTAGTTAATTGCTCATTGGCATCAAACTAAAAGGAAACTTAGGCACAAATAAGACAAAGATAATTGTGGGGTAAGAGTAACAACTCCGATACCAGAAATTAGAGGTACCACTGAAATGTGTAACATGTTGAGCTGAAAGTCAATGACCCAATGGAATGCTAGTAGAAAGAAAGCAGGAGCTATTACTTGATGCCTGGCCTAGAGTAGCAGTGGGAGGAAGAAGAAGGAAAAGGATTGAATAKAGGAACTCCCGAGCATTTGGTGATCTCAGATGTGTCCATATCAATGGAACGGGTGACTCATTATTTCGATGAATCATTTCTTCGGACAGAAGAAGATTATGYAAACACTTACTCGAAATCTCACTTATCAGATTCCATTGTGGAAGACGGAGACTGGAGAAGTAGATGTTGGCCAAGCATATTCTTCCTTAGTAATAGTTATGGTATCACTATCTGGTTGAACTTATGCAATGGATGATTGTGCAACTAGATTCTCATCATGAAAAGTATCCTGATTGGCATAACTAGTAGACTTCTTCAACAGTTTAGAGAAGTCAACTACATGTTCCTTACGACCACAATGTGTACAATACCGGACATATTATCATCCTACTATGATCTCAACCACCACCTATCTCAGATCAATCTCCAGTACAACCACCTCTACCACATCTTCCACAAAGACCACTACCACATTTGCCATGTCCTATAACTGTCAATGCTGAATGGTCCATAGTGGGTGCAAATTATGACTCCGAAGATCTTACTTAATGAAGTCTAAAGAAAACTTCTTTCATAGATGGTAATTTTGAGCCACCCAAAATTTGTTGCCACACAAATTCAAATTCAGACTTGATACCAGAGACGCTCTTCAAAACTGATTCCAAATATGCTTAGAGGTATTCAACAAATCAAGCTGCTACTAATCTTAGTTTCAACGGAATTCCACAACCATGTCTTAATTTTTTTTTTGATGAATAAAGAAATTTATTAGTCACAGAAAATAGAAGTTACAACTAACCCAAGAAGAGGCACAAGGTGCGACTTCTTCAGAAAAGCCTAAAGAAAATTCTTAAAAACAAATTGAATAAGTTACAAGGTAGTCCAAAACAGACAGTCCAGAGAAACCCCTTGTTTGGCTAATGAATCAGCTATAGCATTTGCGATCTGCTCACCCACTGAACACTACTGTCATGTTACTAGTCAGCCAATTCACTTTTTTAAAGAGGTCTCTATAATTCCAAATGGCAGAATCCCGGTTCAAGAGCCATCCCACCACCACCACCTGTGAGTCACCTTTAACCATGTCTTAATTTGAGCAACCCCTTGCACCCAATCTGCGTAGGTAGAGCTACCAGTAGGTGTTTAAGCTTCCCTTAAGTATCAAAATACCCCTATCAATTTGGCCCATGCAGCATAAATAATCCCATTTAATTGAATAGATATCATTTGAATGGGTAAGGGGACATCACAACAGAAAGTGTTGACTCCATATTAATCACTACTTCCAATAAAGAAATAAGTAATAAAAATCCGGTAGCTAATCTTCACTATATCGGCAAGTCACAACATCAAGAACAAGGTTGTTACATCTAATCATTTAAATGGCACGCCTCAGGTGCACAGTTGAGATATTTAAGGTAGGTGCCTTGCCTAGGCCCCAGGTGCAGCAGTTTCAAAAGATGTGCACCTTTTTTTATTTTTCTTGTGCTTTTTGTTCTTAAAAGGCAATTAAAATTATAAAATCATTTTTTGTGTAGGGATTAAGAATCTAAGACCCAAATATGGAATTGTTTGGGCTTGCCTCAAGGGGCTTGGTACGCTCATAGAATTAGGAATGCAAAATGTTTTACATCACATTAGCTATTTGAAGTAATGCAATTGAGGGAAAAAAAGAGATTGAGGGTTTTACATGCTTGGATATGTTTTATATGTTTGATTCTATTTTTAAATTTTCATTTGAATATGCTTTACATGTTATGTTTATGTATTTTTAATTTTAGATAATAGGTTTTTAAAATCATTTATTTTAAAATTTAAGTTTATATTTTTGATTAATATTATGTTTAGTATTTTTATTTTTCTGTATGTTTTGCCTTGCTCCAAAAAGGCACGCACCTCAGGCACAAATTGCCCCTCGTGCTTTTAAAACACTGGTTACAGCACAAAAGGGATGTTCACTCACCTTTTGTTTCATGAAAACTGTTGTATATAACCATCACCAATCACAGATTTATGCAGATATATAATCACAATAACGTCTTGGAACTTCCCAATAGAGGGTCTCACATCACACACCATTCACCTCACATGATGTGATGCTTAAAAGCACCACAAATAACCCCAAACAGCAATCATCCTGACAAGATTCTTAGTCTTGTCTGAATACACCCAAAAAAATAATACAGAGAGAATAGGATGTATAGAGAGAGGAGAAGATAGAAGAAGAGAAGTCAAACCACTTCACCATGCTCTGATACCATGTAAACTGGCATTAGAGGCTTAAAAGCATATTTAGAAGAGAGAAGAGGAAACATGGCCACCACCACGGGTAGGAGTTCGGATCTGCTCCTCACAGCGTGCCTCACACCAACCTCACAGCACATTTCAGCCGTGCATTGGGAACACCTCCCCATGAATAAAAATTTACAATTACAGAGATGTTCCAGATGCATGGCTGAACGTGCCGTGAGGTCAGTGTGAGGCAAGCTCTGCGAGGAGTAGACCCAAACTCAGGTAGAAGAGAGGAGAAAACCCCGAGCTGCTGTTCAGATAAGACTTTAAAACTCAAACAGTCTCACCTAGCTTACGGCTAGGTATATATACAATCATAAAAGATATATATATACAATCACAAAAGATAATATATACAATCATAAAAGATGACAAATTATGAGATCAGATCTGCTCCCAACAAGCCACTGCAGCCGCACACTGGGAACGTCTCCCCATGTATGACAAGGGAGATGTTCCCAATGTGCAGTTGCAGTGGCCTGTTGGGGCAATGTTGGGCGTGTTGTGTTGGTAGCAGATCCCTGCTCTCTAATTACAGTCACGGCCCTGTTTAGTACACATTAAGGACTAGAGTGTCCTTGATCAAAAAAGAAAAAGTCTAAACTACCTTGTCACCGAAGAATACATAAAAAGGTATTATAAGTTATTAGATAAACAAAAGAAATAAACATCAAAATGACTCGACACCCTCCTCTTTATCATGAGTTTTGGTTGGAACTTGAGCTTTAGAAGAGGCTTTAGAAATTCAAAATATCTTAGTGTTATACTGTTATCAATTTGTTGCATCTTCTTGAGGGATATGCTTGGATCCTCTTAAGCCTAATGGGCATATTTGAACTCCCCATCCCATGGGTTCTTTCTCTTGTGCTTCCTTCTTCCGAGCCATTTGCCCCTCCCCTACCCCTTTGTGGCCATTTCCTAGGAAGGAGATCTGGAGTAGGCCTGTTACTATCAAAATGGGAGCTTTTTGTTGGGAAGTTTTTTACAGGAAGATAAAGATTAATACCTTAGATCTTTTACAAAAGAGAAGGTCTAACTGGTGTTTAGACCCAAATTAGCATGTTATTTGCAAAGCTAGTTGTGAGACATGTTATCATTTGTCATCTTCTGTCAATTTGTTACTTGCATTTGGGAGTGGTTTTCTCTTTCCTTGGGTGCAAGTGGACTCCTCTAGTGGACTCAGCTAGCTTGTTTTGCCCATCAACTTTCACATGACCAAAGAAAAGAAGAATCATGTGGAGATCCACTAGAGCAATAATAATTTGGAAAACTTGGGAGGAAAGGAGCACAACAATTTTTAAGGAGCAGGAACCAGGGAGGCCTTAATTGTGTATATTACTGCTAGGGTGATACACTGGATCAAATCAATAGATGTTTTCCCCTTACTCAATTGATAATATCCTGAGAAAGAAGGTTTTGAACACCACTTAAGGAAGGCTTCATTAAGTTCAATTTTGATGGGAGCAGCTTTGGAAATCCAAATCTTTCTGGAGTGGAAGGAGTTTTCAGATATAAAGAAGGTTATATTAAGCAATGTTCTTAAGCCCAAAATTGGAATTAAAGACTCCACAAGGGATAAAACAGGCTAGAGAAATGAACATGAAAAAATTAATCATTGAAGGTGATGGGGATTGGATAGTCGATAAATAATGAGAGAGCAGTGTAGGCCTGCAAAAATGAACTAAGGAAGATTAAGTGGCTGACTAGGAACACGCAAGTAAAATCCTAACGGGTACAGAAGTCAGCAAATGGTTTGGCTGATGCACTAGCCAAACAAGGGGTTAATAGGGTTCAATTATGATGGGCGCAATTTACTGGTCAAAAAAAATGTTGGGCTCAATTGTAAAATAAAAGAGTGTACTTGGAGAGGAAGTAGATTTATCCTCTCTAAAGGTTATGAACGTTCATGTACACATTCTGTCAATAAAATCTCTTTGTTAATTATCAAAAAATATGTGAGCAAAAGAAAATATCCATTCTCTTGTTTATTAAGTTAAAATTTCATATTTAATAAGCATTTATTGCCAAGTAATGTTGCAGTAAATCCCAAGGAGAAGTTAACTTAGTACATATAAACAAATCATTCATCTCAGATATGCTTAATCAGGAACCTTTTTTTCTATATTTTTTTGATAAATGAATAATGATTTTATTAGTAAGAAAAGGAAATGTACATTCACCCTAGGAGGGGGCACGAGCTGTTACCTCCCCTTAGAGGTGAGAGCATAACCAAACTCTTAACAGAATACAATCATAAGGTAGCCCAAAATAATCCAACTCTCGAGACACCTTGTTTAGCCAAAGAATCAGCCATAGCACTAGTACATATTCAGACCAAAATCATATAAAAAAATCTTGTTTTTTCCAATTGCAAGCTCAGTAATTAGATAAATATCGTTCAAGGCATTCCTTCTACCAAACGAAAAACTTCCTCCTAAAAAACACAGAAAAACTTCCTTGGGGACAAATAAGTGCATAGCCGCTGAAAACAAGACAAGGATAAGGCTTCCAAATATACATGTAGAACTTGGGTGAGGAACACTGAAAACGATAAACAAACTTATACTACATCTAATGACAGAAACTCTTCCATACAGAAACTGATCATAAATAGGTGCCAGAATAGAAATTGACCGAATATTGGATTAACAGAGCATGATATATTAGGTTACATTGAATAAAAAACGAAAAAAGAGAAAAATCAAGCACTCCAGTTAAGGACTAATAGACTCTATTAATCAAGTGGTGGAAAACGAAGCTCACCAACCTGATCTCTCGGGACAAAATCAAATGAGATTGATAAAAATATATATTATATATATGTAAAATGTGAAAGAAAGAAAGGAGATACTTACAAAGAAGGAAACTAACGTCGTCGGGCGCTCCATAATTCGAAAACAGAGAAGCAATGGTCGATGATTCCCCAACCGGCGATAAATAACAAAAAGAAAAGGCTAGATAAATCAGTCCTATTCAAGTACCGTGACTCCCCGAACGACGATGCGTTCGAGATCGCTGTTGTCACGGATGACGACGGACAGAAAAGACGGCAATGGCTGATGGAACGAAATCTTCGAGCTCTCCTCCATGTAAGATTAAAAAATGCTCAAAACTGATAAAAAGATTGCTCGACTGTGCAAGTCAGATGAAGTGCAGATCTTGAGTTACCTTGCCCCGTCGCGACGTAAAACAGAGTCGGAGATCCAACCGTCGGATACCCAAGTCGGCGAACTCGACGAAGACGATGAGGTGTTTTTCTCGGCAGTCTCTAGAACTTTCTTTTCTCAGTCACTGACTCACTGGGGTCGCACCCCATATCCTAATGTTTCAAGGTATTTGGTTCCATCACTTTCTCGAAAATAATACGCTTTCTTATTAAACAAACAGAGAGAAATGCTTTGGAAAATTGGAATATTTCCCTTTTCTCGTCAGTTTCTTGACAACCAAATAGTCTGTTGGATGAGCAGTGAAATGGCTGAAACCGGAATTTGTTACTTTGTCTTTTCTTAATAAAATAGTTAAATAATAAAGGGAAAATTCCTTATCAACGTTAGGAATTGTATCAAGTCAATCCCTGAAATTTAAAGAGGAGGCTCAACAACAGATTCAACACATGCATCGGAAATAGGAAGAGGTTCAGAATCCAAATTACTTTAGTCTGGGAGGTTAAATTGTAATGGACATTCAATCTCTAGAGTCATCCTCTTTCTTCGTCTGACGAACCACTGATGCCAAGACCGAGGAATAGGATGAGGCAAAGGAGGAGGCACGGGAGGAGGACTACTACGACAACAAGGAGGAAGAGGAGGAGAAGAAGGATTGACAGCATCAGTTGTAGGAATCGGCATACAAAAAAGAGTCCGATCTTCACTAACATCCTCCCTCTAAAGAGAAGGATGAGAGACGGAGAAGAAGGGAGTAGACTCAAAGAAAGTGAAATCTTTAGACACATACATTTTTTCCAGAACAAAAGTCATAACAACGATACCCCTTTTGGTTTAAAGAATATTCCAAGAAGACACATTTGATAGACTTTAGATCAAATTTCAGCATAGAATGACTCATGTCATGGATGAAGCAAACACACCCAAAAACCTTGAGAGGAAGATGGAATGTATCCTCATTAAGAAAAAGAAACTGATGGAGAGACCAGAGATGTAGGGTTCGTGAGGGAATCTATTAATAAGATATACAATTGTTTGAGCAGCATTCCCCCAAAATCGAGTTGGAACATGCATCTAGAATAACAAGCCTCTGGCAACTTCAATCACATGTTTGTTTTTCCTCTCCAATACCCCATTTGTTGGAGAGTATGAGGGCAAAAACTTTGGTGAATCACTCATTTTTCTTCAAGAAAGGTTTGTAAGTGCTTTTCAAAGTATTCCTTAGCGTTGTCAGATCTAATAATCTTAATCTTCTTCTCAAATAGTGTCTTTAGCATATTAAAAAAGCCTTTCACAATTGAAGGAATTTCATCTTGGCTCTTCAGCAAATACAACCAAGTATACTGCGAGTAGTCATCAACAAAGAGAATGAAATATTTATAGCCACCCATACATGGAATAAAATAAGGTTCCCAAACATCAATATGTATTAAATGAAAAGCAACATTACTTCTTTTGTTACTTGCAAAAAAAGTTGTTCTACATTGCTTTCATAGTTGACAGACTTCACATTGCAGATCAGAACTAGACAAGGACTTAAACAAATTAGAAAACAAAAACTTCAAGGAACCAAAAGACACATGCCCAAGACAATGATGCCACAATTTCAATTGACTTAGTTTCTCATCATGACAAGACACAAATTGACACATCAACCCTAACATTGGAGACTGATTAAGAAGATAAACTCCATCGGCTTTATGTCCACTGCCAATCGTCTTCCTTGTACTCAGGTCCTGAAAGATACAATGAGATGGAAAGAAGGTTATAAAGCAATTATGAGACTTTGTAAGAGAAATAACAGATAAGAGATTTTTGTGCAATTATGGAACATGGAGTACAAAGTTCAAAGAAAGGCTATTGGTAAGTTTAACTTCACCCAAACCCGATATTGGGGTTTGGGATCCATCGACAATGGAAATCGTACCTTTCCCTGAAAAAAGTCTATAAGTGGTAAAGTAGGAAGGCATACTAGTCATATGATCACTAGCTCTTGTGTCAATTATCCAAGAGCTAGAGGGTGGGACATGACATGCGAGTGCAGTACCTAATTTTGCAAAGGCACTAGAAGAAGCATTTTGAACCAGTAGATGTAGGCAACCCACTCTTTTCAAGATGGAGTAAGATGCCTCTCAATTTTTTCATCACATCAGAGGTGTCATGAGCAGATGTCAGAGAAGGAGGATTTCCCTCAAGCATGTGAGTATGAGAATCATGACTTGTAGTAGCAACATGAGCATTTACTTTCTTTCCAATTTTAAACTTCTCAGGTTTCAGGTGGGAATTTAGTTTTCAACATCTATCCTTGGTATGCTTCGGCTTCTTATAGTATTCACAAAATACCTCTTCATGTTTACCAAAACTCTGCTTAGGCTTTGTGGACACAAGAGCAGTGTGTTCACCTACAAACACTTGCATCATAGCATTCCTCCTACTCTCTTCATTATGTATAAGAGAATATGCTGTGGAGAGTGACAAAATATCAACACTAAGGATGTTTTGCCTAGTGAAGTCATAATCAACATTCAACCCGACAAGAAAATCAAAAACTTGAGTTTTTTCAATGTACTTCCTGTATTGTTCAGCATCAACAGGATTTTTCCAATCCAAAGCCTCAAGCTGATCAATTTCTTTCCAAATTGATTGTAAGGAGGAGAAATACATGGCCACTGATTTCTCCCCCTATCGCATATTACATGCTTCTCTTTGCAACTGATAGATTATAGCAGTGTTTTTCGCTTGAGAGTAAATTGCAGCTAGTCTATCCCAAATATCTTTAACTGTTGGAAGGAACATATAGTTATGGCTGATGTGTGGCTGCATAGATCATACAAGCCATGACATAACCAATAGATTATCCTGCTTCCATTTGGAATAGTGTGGATCTTCAAGCTTCGGCTTAGCTTCCTCACTAGTAATAAATCCGATCTTACCTCTTCCATCGATTGTAAGCTTGGCTGATTGAGACCATTCAAGAAAATTTGCCCCAACAAGTTTTACAATAGTAATCTGTCCTCCGACATTGTCATTGCTTCCCGGGAGAACATATGTAGGTATGCAAACGTCTTTGTATGAGTCCATTGATCACAACCCCTCCAAAAAAAATTTCTCACCAATACCACAGTCTTCCAACAACATTGGAACTTCCAAACACCTTTTCCACAAGGTTAGACCCGAGTTACAGCAAAAAAAACTAGGAAAAATAGGTACTGGTGGCAAAAGTTGGGAATAAAAAATTCCCAAAAAAAGTTTTAGGGCTCTAAAAAATTCAGGACTACTTCCTACAGTCCTAGGGGTTTACTATGACTCAAACACAAGAGGTTTCAGCAGCAACCAATCCACCATACGAGCATGCAAACCCTATATTCCATATCTGGATTTTTTGCCAATTTTCATCCGAAAAATCCAAGAAAAATCCAAAGCAACTTCAAACCATCATGAAACTTATACCAAAATTCCCCTAAAATAGAAGTGAATCAGCGACCATCAAAAGCCCATGAAGATGTCGTCGATTGTACGGAATGCTGATGTCAACTGGCGGTGTGCTGACATTAGCAGATCTACCTGTGAGTCACAACCAGTAGTAGAGAGTTTTCTTGATCATGCGTAGCTCTAATACCATGTTGTAAGGTTTATAGATGTTGAAGAAGAAGAAGAAGAAGAAGAAGAAGAAGAAGAAGTGTCTGAGAATGCTTGGTGTGGCACTATTCACACCAAGAGACTTTTCATTTTTTCTTCAGAAGCAAAATTACAAAGGTGCCTTTGAATAGGCACCCAAATACAAAAAATCAGAAAAGGACATAAATGCCCTCACACTCTTATATATAATACAATTTCTAATTTAAGAAATATGAGTAGAAATAATATTTAAAGCATCTTGAATACATAAATTTAAGATATGACATGCACATTTGATATGAAAAAATTTACCATTTAAACATGGTTTTAATTGAGATTTTTAAAATATTTATTGTTGAATCATTATTACTAGCATTATCAAAACTAATAGAAAATAATTTATTGTCAATTCCATAAGCATGTAAAGTATTTAAAATACTTAAAGCAATAGTTGGGCCAGTGGCCATTCAAGCCTAGTAAAACTTAAAATTCTTTTATTTAAAAGCCATTTTTCATTAATAAAATGACCTAACACAAATATAACTTATGTTACATTTAGACGTCCAAATATCAAAAGTAATGAATTAATATTTGATAACATATAAATTAAATTTTGTTTATATGAATAAAAAATTTTTAAAGCATTTGATCTAATAGTATTCCTAGAAACTTTTTTAAATTGTGGATTTACAGAATTACATAAGCATTCTTCAAGTTTAGTATCTTCAGCTAACAAAAATGGTTGTTTAGCATGTATAATGTATTTTGCTAATTCTTGCCTCATTTTTTCTTGAGAATATTTAAAAGTACCAAAACCCTCTGCCCAATTTGTGTTTGCGTTGTTTCTCTCCCTTCTTCTTCTTCTTCTTTTTTTTCATGGGTGAGCAAATGTTTGCCCAAATGGCTTGTACCACCCTTGCTACAATAGCTAAAGTCTTTCCAAACCAGGCTAATCAATTTAGTGGCCTTCTTTTTCTTTCCCCTAGTATCAGTATTAGGGGTGGAAGTTCTGTCAATATCAATAGCATCCATATCGGTGCTAATACTACCATGCTGCGACTGAATATCGTCAATATTGAACATGTTGGGGAATTGCTTTTGGGAGGAGTCAACCATTTTTTTTAAATTCTAAAAGATAAAAATTAATTTAATTGCACTTGCTCGTATTACAGGTTCAAAATCCCAACTTGATTTTAACGGTTGAAGCCTTTCAACTCCAAGAGTCCAAGCCTCCCAAATTGCTAACTTGAGATACTTAATCTGTTAAACAACCTTCTTCTTGTTGAAACTTCAATAAAGTTGAGAATTGGAGAATCAGAGAATGTATGAGAGATTGAGAGATTGATACTTGAGAGAGTATGAGAACTAGAGAAGAGATAAGAGAATTGCTGAATTGGTATGATGAGAATGGTGGAGGATAGAGATATTTATAGGAATTGAAGTAATTCAATTGCCCGCCCAAAATGCATCCCCAATCTAGCTATTATATAGATGTTGGGAGGCATTTGTGTCATTCTTCCCCTTAAAACCAAAATA